AAAAAAAAGCCTGAAAGTTCAGTGTTACTTAAAAAAAAAGTCTGATACATCAGTGTTCCCTACAGAAAAAGGCTGATACTAGTACGGTAGTCTTTATTTTACTAGTAGTAAAAACACTAGGAAGGAAGCAAACAGCAGAACGGGATGTGAGGCTGGATGGCAGGTAGCACGGCTGGGAGGCGTGGATGCATCAGTGCTTGCCAGCACGACCTAGACCGCCAGAATCCTTCGCAGCGCAGCCTGCCAGCATCTCTGTGCTGCAACCTTTTAATTGGTCAAGTCACTTAATGTTGCAAATGTGGCCAATGACCGGACCAGGCGCGCCAACTAAGGGGCCATCAGTGTGGGCAAAATTGTCCGATAGTCAACGACAGGCCCTGCTGACACCGCGGGAATCTGATTTTCCCAGTACTTCAGGTCAAGTACACTCGTACCTAGTAGGATTCGCTTTCAGGGTCAAACTCGTTACAACGTAAAGGCATCAGTGTCACTTCAAAAAAAGTTCAGAGTCATGTGGCATGTGAAGGCTGAAAAATCAGCCCTAGGAAAAGCTGAACACTGGATTTTTAGGGTAGGTAAAAAAAAACCCTGAAAATCAAGAATTTCAGGGTAAAATTCATGATATCGTAGGGCCTGATATCGAGGCACCAGCGAGTCAACCCTCGGAGGTTGAAGTAACTGCTGGAGGTTATGCGAAAGTCAAAGGACAGCGACCTTTGACCTGACAAGTACAGCGCGGCAGCAAGGACACACAGCTGACTCGCTACAGAGCAGTTGCCCGAGTCGTCACTGTATCGAACCGCAACAGCAACAGTAAAGTAGTTATAACCGTACCTCTTCATATTCCTTGTACTCATATATAATCCTGGATCTCTTTGCTTTAATTAATCGACTTTGCCCTCACATACTAGCCCAAGGTGGTTCACAATTCTTCACTAAACGCTTCCGCTATTACATCAGTCCTACCCAGTGTTCACCCCTGCAAAGATCCTAAGGGCTTTTCTCAGCCCAACAATTTGTAACACCAATAAAATATCCTTCCGATTCAGCAAGCATTGTCAATCTTACTAACTACTACCTAGTCCACACTTTGGCCCATCACAACGAAGGCACTGCCTCTTGAAGCTTCCTTGCTACTTCCTTCTTCAGAGAAACCCCTTTTTGTTGAAAGCTGTCAGCAAGTTGAGATGCCAGGACATCCTCTCCTTGGGCAAGCAAAGCACTGCAACAATACCGGTATAATTCACAACCCAATGTGCGATTTTGAATCAGGTTTGGAAGCAATGATGTTAGGTGTGCACCATGCACCAGCCACTGCTGAGTTTACAACAAAAAAGTGTAGGATATGTTTACCTGATGACAATGTCTGCGGTGGTGGGTGATGGATGAATTTTCGCCTTCCCCATTTGACTATAAGCCGAGAGCAGGAGAGAGTTATCCTTGGCTGACGCAGCATGCTTCTGCAGCGGAGACAACAAGTCAAGGAGAATAGGCCTTCAGGACATTTGTATGGATATTAAACACATGGCGGACATGAACCCTGGGAAAATTGATGGTATGTCTTCGTATGGTAAGTTTGACTTGAGTATCCATTTGCAATCTCGATGGGCTGGACGCGTACCATAATCAGATGTGCAGATGTGGACGCGTACCATAATCAGATGTGCAGATGTGGACGCGTACCATAATCAGATGTGCAGATGTGGACGTGTACCATAATCAGATGTGCAGATGTGGACGCGTACCATAATCAGATGCGCAGATGTGGACGCGTACCATAATCAGATGCGCAGATGTGGACGCGTACCATAATCAGATGCGCAGATGTGGACGCGTACCATAATCAGATGCGCAGATGTGAACGCGTACCATAATCAGATGCGCAGATGTGGACGCGTACCATAATCAGATGCGCAGATGTGGACGCGTACCATAATCAGATGCGCAGATGTGGACGCGTACCATAATCAGATGCACAGATGTGGACGCGTACCATAATCAGATGCGCAGATGTGGACGCGTACCATAATCAGATGTGCAGATGTGGACGCGTACCATAATCAGATGTGCAGGTGTGGACGCGTACCATAATCAGATGTGCAGATGTGGACGCGTACCATAATCAGATGCGCAGCTCCCAGCAATGGCGTCAAGCCAAACGGATTGGTTGGGGAAATGGCAACCAAAGCTGCCAGGTGGTGAAGGAAGGAGTGAAGAAGGAAGGAGTTGAGACGCAGAAATCACGTTGGGATGCCACAACCCATGCTGTGACAGAAAAAAGGATAGCTCAAACCTGAGTCAACGCAAGCACCATAGGCAGCTGCAAAAAAAGAAGGAAAAGCAATTCTGCAGGTTCAGCACGCAAGTAAAGCTTGTTGTAAAGTTCGAAGCTCCTAGGTCTCAGGCTCGTGGATTTGAAGCACCTAGGTTTGAAGCTTGCGGTGTTTGGAGCTTGTGGAATGGAAGCCTGTAGCTTGAACTCGCCTTTCTGCAGCCCGCCTGCTCGGATGCCTTGTGAGTAGACTCAACAGTGAACTTGAGCTCACCTTTATGTGGCACGCCTGCTCGGATGCATGCTCTCACGACGCCCAGCGACACCTCGTCGTTGAAGTTCGCCGTCTGCTTGCGATAGGCTGCGTTCTGTATCAATGTGTAGCAATAGGTAGGGATATGTAGGCATATGGATGGAAGGGAGCGGACAGATGGTCAAAGGACGGCGGGAACACACGAAACCATGAAGAACTTGTCAGCTTGTGCATGTAAGCTTGTGCATGTCAGCTTGTGCATGTTCAGCTTGTGCATGACATGTCAGCTTGTGCATGTCAGCTTGTGCATGTCAGCTTGTGCATGTCAGCTTGTGCATAGTCCACTTATCTTCTCTCATCTCCCCCTTCTCCCCCCATCATCCCACCCTTTCCAACCTTCCTCCCCCCTCCCCCCTTCCCTCCTCCTTCTGTCTAATGACCAAGTGAGCAGCTCTCTCACATCGCCTGAACCAACGTTCCCTGCGCTCCCTTCTCGCCCGCGTTGCTCCACGAGCGAGATTTCTGTCGATTCAATTGTCGCCTTAATCGTGTTTCAAGTCGACTCAGAACACGAGATTTGAGTCGATTCAATAGTCGCCTGAACCACCAATCCCTGCGCTCTCTTTCTCCCCTCGCTGTTCCACGAGCGCTCAATCGTCTGTCCCCTCGTTCCCGCGCAGGTGATTTTTGAGTCGACTCAAACGCCACCTCTTTCCCCCCCCGTTGCTCCACGAGCGCTCTTTCCCCCTCGTCCCCGCGCACCTCTTTCCCCCTCGTCCCCGCGCACCTCAAGCCTCGTTCGCGCCAGCATCTGCAAGGAAGCTTCGGCCTCCTCCGCCGTCTGGCACTCTTGAAAAACTCCCAGAAGGTTCTTTTTCGCTGGCGCTACGTGCAGCCGGAGCGATCGACTGCACGCCTCCGCGTGGCTTCGCCAGCCTCCCGCCTCCTCCGCTGCTACCGCGGATTCTACTGACGGATCCACGGCAGCCGTCGATCTTGGTGATTGGTCAGCAGCTGGCGACGCCGATGCGGAAAAGAATCGGTCTCTTGAAACAATATCGGATGCGGCCCATCGTGGGGATAGAATCGAGAGCGCGGAAACCGAGTTCTGGAGAGCAGGAAACTGTATTCGGATTGTGACGGCCATTGGAACCAAGGTATGTGCTAGTAGGATTGAAGGTTGTGAACCTAGGATGCTAGCGATGCTGAAGCGTGGAAAGATACCTAATCAGGGCGGGTTGTGAAACTGTGTTCGTTGCAGGGCGCGGTACATCTCATCTCAAGGCGGTTTTGGATACGTGATTGGGGGAAGGGGGGATGAAGGCTACCTAGAAACATGCGTCGGTTGTTTTGTTTGTCCACCCTCGATCGATATTCATTATTGTTTCAATTGGCGACATTCGTGACATGTAGGTGACTGGTTGTTACAGATTGTTGATGAAACTGGTTTTGTAAGACTACCTTGCCTCGAGTTCATTGCCTGCGCGACCGTCGTTCTAGTCGACCACTTTCTTCCCGAACATCGTAGCATTTCGCTTGTTCGCGTATCATGTTATCTGCAAGTCTATCAAAGCTCGTCCTGGCTCGCCAGGAGCTGCCCCCGTCGCGATCAAATAACACCTGTACCGGATCTGCGCTCGTCAGGGAGGGGGGTACCCGCCAAACCCGCGAGGACTTTCATATATCCTAGATTCCTAGGTTATTTTCCGCTGCACCCAATGTCAAGAAGCGGCACATAGTACTGAATAAGGAATAGCTTGTGTTTATACCCTAAATCTGGTTACTCTAGCACCCCGCTACATTCCTTAGGCGTAGTCTGAGAATTCTCAGATTCTCCTAGGAAAGCTTATAAGACAACTTCCCAATCCAGTAACGCATAGAGTAACCTCAGACACCCCGCGTGACAGGATGAAGGAGGAAGGAAGGCGGAGAAAGAGTCCTTTACCTGCCAGTCATGCCATACACCTGGATCATTCAATCAGTACCGGTACTGGTGCTAGTACCGGTACTAATACGAGACGTCCCAGTCCGTTTGACATTTACAGCGCGGATAAATCGTTACAAAAATCTTTCCAATTCAGTGATGATACTAGCCATTCGGGCGCGATCCAGTACGATTCAGCACGATTCGGCTGCGCCAATCATAAGGAGCAGCAGCAAGGCCAATCCTTTGAGATTGCCACGTTTCAGAAAGCATCATCCGCATCATCAGCATCCTACTCGAAGTTCTTGAGTTTCTCTGCATTTTCCCGTCTCCTACGGAGAACTCTTAACTTTCTACTATTCTCCCTCCTCCTCCTCACGCCCCTATACTACTTCGCGTTTGTCCTAATCTCTCCAAACTGCACGCGAACCCCGATAGTAACCTTTCGCGCGCCGCTTACATACTCCACTCCTAGTCCATACTGCCGCTTATTCCCGTTCGCGTCGCGATGGAAATACACTGTTTCGGAAGAAAATTCTCGATTTGATGGAATGGAGGACTTCGTGTTCGACCCGAGTTCAATACCCGCTGAGATCAAATTGTCGGGTGATCCGTATAGCAGTGGGGAACACGGGAAGATGGCGTTTTTGTTCCTCACGAGATCGACCATCCCGCTTGCTCCGTTATGGGAAAGATTCTTTAAGGTAAGCTGTGGAATGAGCTCCATCGTTAATTTGTTTACGTTGTTCTACTGTCGAATTTGTCCCATTGTTACGTTATCATAACCAGCATCACCAGTATCACAAATCATTTCCCCTATGCCTAAAACGGTCCACACGTCACACTCCATATGCCGTTCCCCTCCCTTCTCATCTTATAATGCTGACACTTACTGCTGATGTGCACTGCTGACTGCTGTTGATGTGAACTGCTGACTGCTGCTGTCGTGTCACTGCCACGTGTCTTGCTGACGTGGCAGGGTCACGAGCACCGCTACTCCATCTACGTGCACAGCTCCGACCCGTCCTTTCAAATCACTGCTGATAACACCCCCTCGCCCATCTTCCTAGGCCGCCAAGTGCCCAGTGGCGAGGTATTTATCACATGGTGCATATTATGCTCTACCACACATCACTAAATCTTGCTGTACTGAACTGTGCTGTACTGTGTTGTACTGTCTTTCCATTGAGAGCTCTGCTGTATTGAATCTTACTGAATCGTACTGTACTGAATCGAACTGTAATCCCCTCTCCCGTCCCCCTTCCCCCCCCAAAAATCACCCCTTTAGATGCTGTGGGGTGACATCACTATGGTGGACGCGGAGTGAAGGCTTGCTCTCTACACCCCTCTCCACCCCTGCCAACCCCCACCCGCCCATTCACCCCTTCTGGTACTGTGGGGCGACATTACCATTGTGGACGCGGAGCAAATGCTGCTGAAGATTCTTTGCCCTCTCCACCCCTCTCCACCCCGCTCCACCCCTCTGAACCTCTTATTGATTCTACTACCTCTATTGGCCCCTTTCAGGTGCCGTTGGGCGACATCACCATTGTGGATGCAGAGCGACGACTGCTGGCGATGATTTGCCCCTCCCCACCCGTCTCCACCCGTCTCCACCCCTCTCCACCCATCTCCACCCCTCTCCACCCCTCCCAACCTCTTATTACCTTCCCGTCAGGTCCTGTGGGGCGACATCACCATGGTGGACGCGGAGCGAAGGCTGGTGGAAATCTCCCTGTTGGACCCGGATAACCTCTTCTTCACCCTTGTGTCTGAGAGGTGCGGTTGGAAGGAGTGGAGAGGGGTGTGGGGAGGTGTGCAGGTGTGGGGCACGATGTGCGTGCGTGGGTGTGGAGGGTTGGGGAGCGGTGTGAAGTGGTATGAATGAGTGTGTGAAAGGCTGCTTGGGACCGCCCCGTTGGACCCGGATAACCTCTTTTTCGTGCTCATCTCTGAGTGGTGTGGTGCGGTTGAAAGGTGTGGAGAGAAGTGTGGAGAGGTGCGGTCGGAGAGCTGTTTCTGGGTGTGAGAGGGAGTGAAAGGGTGTGGGGCGGAGGGCGGACAGGTGAGTGCACGGTGGGGTGAGGTGTGATGAGGCGGTGAGGCGAGGTGTGATGTGGCGTTTGCCTTCCCCATTCAATCTTGCCGTTTCCCCTTCTCCCTTCTCCTCCGCTTCTCTTCCCCTTGCCTTCCCTTTCCCTTCCCCTCTTCCCCTTATCGTCCCCTTATCTTCCCTTTCTCTTCCCCTCTTCCCCTTCTCTTCCCCTTCTCTTCCCCTTCTCTTCCCCTTCTCTTCCCCTTCGTTGTCCCTATTCGTCCCCCTCTTTAAACTGCGTTGCCTCCCGCTTGTTTTTCCTTGTGTCCCCACCAGCTGCATACCCCTGTGGTCCTTCCAATATATCTATAATTACGTTGCCACCACGTCAGTCAGCTTCATTGAAAGGTAAGCTTAAGAGACTTACTCAGCGCCACCACCGCTAAAACATGTAGCCATGCCACCGTAACCGTCACGTCAGCTTTGTCGAGAGGTGAATTGAAAGAGCTTACTTCACTCAAGACGCCATCCCTCTTAGAAATGGGCAAAACATGCTGCCATTGCTTTAAACTGCATTCGCCGTACTATCAGGTTTGACTGCCCTCTCAACATTGGCTTTAATTTGTGCATCAAAGCGATGGGGCTTGAGACACGGAAGAGTGTGCTCTTATACGCTTGCCAATCCCCATCCTATCTCCATCCCCCCATCTCCATCCTCCCATCTCCATCACCACATCTTCTTCCCCCATCTCCATCCCCCCATCCCCATCCCCATTCCCATCCCCATTCCCCCATCTCATCCCAATCCCCATCAGGTTCGACTGCCCTCTCAAGATTGGCTCTGGTGGTCGCTGCATAGGAGGAAAGGCGCAAGTGGGGTTTTACATTCATGCCTGTCCCCATCCCCATTCCCATCCCCGTCCCCATCCCCATCCACCCATTTCCGTCCACCCATCTCCGTCCCCTCATTTCTATCCTCCATCTCCATCGCCCCATCTCCTTCCCCCCATCTCTCTCCCATCAGGTTTGACTGCCCTCTCAACATCGGCTTTGGTCGCTACATGGAAAGGATGGGGCCTGAGAAAAGGAAGAGTGTGGTTTCATACTCACTCTTATCCCCATCCCGATCCCCATCCTGATCCCCATCCCCATCCCCATCCCCATCCCCATCCCTATCCTCTTCCCCATCCCCATCCCCATCCCCATCCCCATCCCCATCCCTATCCTCATCCCCATCCCCATCCCCATCCCCATCCCCATCCCCATCCCCATCCCCATCCCTATCCTCATCCCCATCCCCATCCCCATCCCCATCCCCATCCCTATCCCCATCCCCATCCCCATCCCCATCCCCATCCCCATCCTCATCCCCATCCCCATCCCCATCCCCATCCCCATCCCCCCATCGGAATCCCCATCAGGTTTGACTGCCCTCTGAACATTGGCTTTGGTCGCTACATGGAAGCGATGGGGCCCGAGATAAAAAAGAAAGACTTCAAGAAGGGATCTCAGGTGGGTGTTGTACTCGTTATAAGGTGTTGCAACAAACAGTTGATGCCTGTGTGACATGTGTAATAACGTTTGAGACGTCTCAAGAGGGATGGGGGCCAGTATAAAGATTAAAGTTTTCAACAAGGAATCTCAGGTGGTGGGTATGTCAGTTTTGCCAAAGTATATTTGTTTTGAGATATCACAAAGCAGATTAACTTGAATGGGGCATGAGATAAAAAAGAACTAGCTGCAGCAAAAAGGGATCTCAGGTGGTTATCATACTCGTTATATCGTGCTGCAGCAATTGCTGTCCATGGGAGGTGTGTGATTTGACTGGATTGACAATAGAGAAACATGCTTAGTTAGCGACCCCTTTTATTGAGCTTATAGTCACTATCGTCCCTACAGTCTCGATTTTGCATTATCTGCTGGACTTCCGCTTGCATTCTTTCTCCCCTGCACTCTTCTTGGTGCTAGTTTTTGTGGCAACACAAGGCTTTTAACAATCGCTGTTGCAATCGCAAACGTCCTCTTGTGCTTTGGTATCCCCATCTTGCTTGTTTATCTTTGGATTTTTGTTTTGATTTTTTTCCCCTTGGTGCCTTCGATGTGACTCTAGTGGTTTGTGCTTCAACGGAGGCACGCAATGATGGTCATCACAGACAGAAAAGTCTACTTCAAGTTCCAAAAACACTGCAAAGTAAGCCTCCTATCAGCCCGCCCAAGTTTGGGGATGTCTCAGATCTTCGAATTGCAAAAGGACTGCAACAAAGTAAGCTACTCTGTGAGGGAATTTTAAGAAATTGCAAATCAACTATCTCCTCATTCACATGCTACCATGCCTGTCTGCTTTAACAGTAGGTTTTAACGCTCCATTTCTAGTATGAGTTGCCATCAAGGATAAAAAATACGACCGAAATATTGATTTTAGGGCTGTATTATACGGTATCGTATTATACGGTCGTTTAAAACGGTTTAGTACGGTTAAATGTTATTTTTAAAATTCGATTAAAAATACGATTGTTTTTTTCGACCGAATTTTTAGAACGGAGAAAGTGTACACCGAATTTCAACAATCAGCCCCGTCGAGTTCGTTTTGGGGGATTTCGTGAGAAGTCTTGTGAGTCTCGCTCGAATTTGGCCCGAGTCGCGCATGTCAGGAAAATGGCGTGGCGCGACATTTTGACATCTGACGAACGGTATAAAAGCGCTTACCCGTTTCGCTGAGTCGTTTGAGTAGTTCGCCGAATCGCGACGACACCAAATTTCGGAGGCGCGGAAATGTACACCATTGGCGAACCCCTTGAACCTTGGTACCCGTTTCGCGGAGTCGTTAGCACAACTCGCGCGCTGGGTTTATTTTTCGCCCCCAATCCTGACGCCTCGCACAATTGCGTGCGACACAATTCCAGCCAATAGTAATACGCCAATCCATCTCCCATCTCACGTCATCCATTCTTCAAACACCCCTCGACAAAGCAGTACAAAGAGATACATATTGGAGGAGGAAAATCCCATTCGACACATCCTCTCTCTGGCTGCCGTATCTCAGAACAACAATCTCTGACCCACGCTTTCTCAGCATAGTCTAGTGGAACGCCATGGTGCGCCCCGCTTCTCAGTTTTGGGAGCACGTCATTAAGATTAAGGATGACGAAGGCAACGTAGTCGGTGCTACCTGCATTCATTGCAAGAATCCTGTGACGGCTAATGCGACTAGGATAGGCGAGCACATGTTCGGCACTAACAAGAGGGACAAGAACGTTGCGATGTGCAAGTCGGACTACGCTAAGCAGTTGCGGGCGACAGCCGATCAGGAGCGCTCGACCACGGAAAATGCTACGGGAGGATCAACCCGTGCCTCCACGTCCTCGGTGGAGGCGCCGCCCGTGCGTCGCTCCCGGCAGCGAGATATCCGTGATATGACGGACCAAGTTGCGCATAATCGCCTTGATTACCTGTGGGCTGCTGCAGTTGCCGAGAACGACCTCGCCTTCAACGTCAGCAAGTCGAAATCGATCCAGGCGTTCGTTGACGCGGTGATCATGTACGCGAAACCGTACACCCTCCCAACCCCGTACAAGGTATCCGGCCCATTGCTGGACAAGCTGAAGGCGGACTCCGAGGACCTGCTGCGGCCGGTGAAGGAGAGCTGGAAGACCAGCGGGTGCTCGCTCTCCGTCGATGGATGGACGGACATCAAATCCCGCGGTTTTGTGTGTGTCATCGCGCAAAATGACACCGCACCCGTCATCGTCGACATCGTTGACTCGAAGACCGTAAAAAAAACCGGGGACTACTTGGCAACGTTATTCAGGGAGCGATCACCACTGTGGGGCCGAAGCATGTCATCCAAGTCGTGATGGATAACGCTTCGAACAACAAAAACGCCGCCAGCAAGCTAAGCGCGGATTATCCCCATATCTTCTTCACCAACTGCGCCGCCCACTGCCTCGACCTCATGCTGCATGACATCGGCAAGATCCCTGCGGTGAAACTCGTCCTTTCCCAAGTGCATCAGGTCGTGATGATGATCAAAGGCTCCGCCTCGGCCGTGGTCTTGTTCCGTGAGCTTTTTACCAAGCTCTCGTTGGTGCGGCCTGGTGCAACGAGATTTGGCACCCAGGTCATCATGCTCGGCAGGTTCCTTGAGGTGAAGCGCGCGTTGAGGGCGATGGAAATCAGCGAGGAATGGGAGGATGTAGCGGTGGCACGGACGGAGGAGGGGATGGAGGTTAGGAAGCTGCTTTTGGACGACGTTTTTTGGGACTGTGGGACGGCCGTGCATCGCCTCATGACTCCCATCTACGAGGTTCTCCGCGCCGTCGACACACGGGCTCAAGTCATGGGGCAGCTGTACGGCCTCATGCTTGAAGCCACGGTGAAGACTAATGCGGCGGCTGAGACAGCTGGTGAGTGAGACGGCTGATAGTATTACGCGATGGGTATTGATTGTTAATCTCTCCACCCACCTGCTCATGCTTCCTATCTAATTAGTGCTCTTTATTCACTGTGAGCAGCCGCACACTTCATCAAGCGGACGGGTCTGCTGTTGCCTAAGGACAGGAGCACTTTCCTCACCTCCATCAAGGCGATCATTGCCAGGAGGTGGGACGCACAACTGCACAACCCCCTGCATGCCATCGGTTGGCTCCTCAACCCCCGTAACCAGTACATTGGGGAGGTAAGGAATGACAAGGAGATTAGGAAGGGGGTGGATGAGGCAATCCAGGCCCGGGGCGGAGATGTGCAGCAGCGCATAACGCTAGCTGCACAGGTGGCTCAGTTTCACCGAGGGGAGGGCAGGTTGGGCTCTGACGATGCCCGTTGGGCAGCAACTACCTTGGTGGAGGCGGGGCGCATGACGGAGGCGGAATGGTGGTTCCTGTTTGGTGGGGAGGTGCAGGCGCTCCAAGACCTGGCTGTGACGTCTTTGTCACAGCCAGTCACCTCCTCCGAAGTGGAGAGGTACTGGTCGGCGCTGGCACGTGTGCAGAGGCGCGACCGGAACCGCCTCACGGCGAAGAAGATGACTGACGTCACCTTCGTCGCCTTCACCCGGCGGGCCCGTGATGCCTTTGATCGAAAGGCAGCCCTGCGTTCCAAGCTCTATCAGGACCTGGGCAACGGCACCCTCAGGGAAGGGGCTGCCATCATCCCGGCCGAAGTGGAGGTGGAGGAAGGGGATGCGGAGGAGGAGGCACCCGTGGAGGAGGAATGCACCATTGATTGGTCGGAATTTGGGAGCATCGGCAAGAAGAGGAAAGGGAAGGCGGGTAAGTCATCTGAAGGGAAGAAGAGGGGGAAGGGCAACGGTGCATGCAAGGGAAAGGGGAAAGGAAAAGCAGGGGATGCAGAGGAGGAAGAGGAGGCGGAAGAGAGCGGTGGGGAGGAGGAAGAGCCTACCCTGAATCCCAAGGGGCGATATGCTTGGGATTGCAGCGACGGTTCAAGTGGGGAGGAGGAGGAGGAGGAAGAGGATGACGAGGAGTATGACGGTTAGAGTGGGGAGGGAGGAGGAAGAGGATGACGAGGTGGTGAAGAATAGAAGGCAGCAGGGTGAGTATAGTGGGGTGGGGATGGACTTAGGAGGAGATATAGGCTAAAGGCCGGTACTTGCCTAGGTATGCATAGGGGTAGCGGCAGAATTAGTGGACCTTAGCATGCCTGTTTCTCCTTATTGTAGGTTGTTATCGGTTTCCTAGTCTTTGTTGTAGCCATTTCAGTAGATTCTGGAAAAATTCTGACTCAAAAAGGGCCAACAAAAAAACGACAAAATTTTTGGAAAACCGAACGTATTATACCATCGAAAAAAACGCCCCGTATAATACGATAGCCGTATTTTTGATCCTTGGTTGCCATCGATTCAATATAAGAACACCTCCCATATCCCCCTCCCTCCCTCCCTCCCTCCCTCCCTCCCTCCCTCCCTCCCTCCCTCCCTCCCTCCCTCCTTCCCTCCCTCCTTCCCTCCCTCCCTCTCTCCCTTCCCTCCCTCCATCCCTTACGCCCGATCATACATTCTTGTTGCAGTACTCACTTTGGAGATTTGCTTTTTGTTGCGCTGTGTAGAAATAATCATTAGAGAGAAACCCTTTCAATATCCTGTGCACACTCTGAAATTCTCATAAGTTCACTCTCTCATAAGTACGCTTGCTCGTGCTCACCTGCCTCTATCTGTCTATCTGTCTGTGTCTGTCTGTCTGTCTGTGTCTGTCTGTGTCTGTCTGTCTGTCTGTCTGTCTGTCCGTCCGTCCGTCCTTCCGCCCGTCCGTCCGTCCTTCCGTCCGTCCGTCCGTCCGTCCGTCCGTCCGTCCGTCCGTCCGTCCGTCTGTCCGTCCGTCCGTCCGTCCGTCCGTCCGTCGGTCGGTCGGTCGGTCGGTTCGGTCGGTCTCGCGGTCGGATCGCGTTCGGTCGGTCGGTCGGTCGGTCGGTCGGTCGGTCGGTCGGTCGGCGGTCGGTCGGTCGGTCGGTCGGTCGGTCGGTCGGTCGGTCGGTCGGTCGGTCGGTCGTCGGTCGGTCGGTCGGTCGGTCGGTCGGTTCGGATCGGTCGGTCGGTCGGTCGGTCGGTCGGTCGGTCGTCGGTCGGTCGGTCGGTCGGTCGGTCGGTCGGTCGGTCGGTCGGTCGGTCGGTCGGTCGGTCGGTCGGTCGGTCGGTCGGTCGGTCGGTCGGTCGGTCGGTCGGTCGGTCGGTCGGTCGGTCGGTCGGTCGGTCGGTCGGTCGGTCGGTCGGTCGGTCGGTCGGTCCGTCGGTCGGTCGGTCGGTCGGTCGGTCGGTCGGTCGGTCGTCGGTCGGTCGGTCGGTCGGTCGGTCGGTCGGTCGGTCGGTCGGTCGGTCGGTCGGTCGGTCGGTCGGTCGGTCGGTCGGTCGGTCGGTCGGTCGGTCGGTCGGTCGGTCGGTCGGTCGGTCGGTCGGTCGGTCGGTCGGTCGGTCGGTCGGTCGGTCGGTCGGTCGTCGTCGGTCGGTCGGTCGGTCGGTCGGTCGGTCCGTCGTCCGTCCGTCGGTCGGTCGGTCGGTCGGTCGGTCGGTCGGTCGGTCCGTCGGTCGGTCGGTCGGTCGGTCGGTCGGTCGGTCGGTCGGTCGGTCGGTCGGTCGGTCGGTCGGTCCGTCGGTCGGTCGGTCGGTCGGTCGGTCGGTCGGTCGGTCGGTCGGTCGGTCGGTCGTCGGTCGGTCGGTCGGTCGGTCGGTCGGTCGGTCGGTCGGTCGGTCGGTCGGTCGGTCGGTCGGTCGGTCGGTCGGTCGGTCGGTCGGTCGGTCGGTCGGTCGGTCGGTCGGTCGGTCGGTCGGTCGGTCGGTCGGTCGGTCGGTCGGTCGGTCGGTCGGTCGGTCGGTCGGTCGGTCGGTCGGTCGGTCGGTCGGTCGGTCGGTCGGTCGGTCGGTCGGTCGGTCGGTCGGTCGGTCGGTCGGTCGGTCGGTCGGTCGGTCGGTCGGTCGGTCGGTCGGTCGGTCGGTCCGTCCGTCCGTCCGTCCGTCCGTCCGTCCGTCCGTCGTCCGTCGGTCCGTCGGTCCGTCGGTCCGTCGGTCCGTCGGTCCGTCGGTCCGTCGGTCCGTCGGTCCGTCCCTCCGTCCGTCCCTCCGTCCGTCCCTCCGTCCGTCCCTCCGTCCGTCCCTCCGTCCGTCCCTCCGTCCGTCCCTCCGTCCGTCCCTCCGTCCGTCCCTCCGTCCGTCCCTCCGTCCGTCCCTCCGTCCCTCCGTCCCTCCGTCCCTCCGTCCCTCCGTCCCTCCGTCTGTCTGTCTGTCTGTCTGTCTGTCTGTCTGTCTGTCTGTCTGTCTGTCTGTCTGTCTGTCTGTCTGTCTGTCTGTCTGTCTGTCTGTCTGTCTGTCTGTATGTCTGTGCAGCCAAAGCGGGAGTTCAAGAACTGCTACTCGGACGAGCACTACCTTCAAACACTCTTCCAGGTATGCGTAATGAGGTGACGTGACACCTCACATATGAGTTGCAAGATGATATTTCAGTTGAGATATGCTCTGCTGAAGTTGGTATCTCAATCAAGGGATGCTCAGGTGCTATCTCAGGTATGCTTTGCCATCGCCCTCCTTCCGTCTTCCTTCACTTCCCTTTTCCGTTTTCGTCTCTGGCAAAAGTGGACCCAGGAGGGATAGAGTCACATGGATTCACATGGACAAGATTTTCCATTCACATCGTGACGTGACATCCGCTCGTCTTCTTCTTCCTCTTTCTTCTTCCTGCCCTTTTCCTCGTCTCCGTTTCTCCTCCGTAGCAGCTGGCAGGAGGGGTGGTCCAACCAACTACACGATGACACCCTTCGGTCTCTTTCTCACCTGGCTTGTTTTCCCTTCCTCCATCGTTCTCGCCCGTTTCCTTCGCCTATTTCCCTCTAATGTTTCCTTCTCTTCCCCAGCAGAAGCTTAATCCAAGAAAATGTTGAAGTACCAGGTGACACATCCCTCTCTTTCACCTTCTTACCTTTCCTTCTTTGCCTTCTTCCTTCCTCCCCCTCTTCCTTGCTAACCCTGGCAGAAGCTGGATCCAGGAGGCGTGTCCAACTACACGGTGACGTTTGTGGATTGGACGGAGCGCAAGTGGCATCCCAAGGCCTACTCCGTGGACAACACCACCTCGCTCCTTCTCAGGCAAATCAAGGTACCCTTACGCACGTGAAGGCCTTAGTTGGCCGAAACGCGTTCGCACGTGGCATCCGGGCCTATGTGTCTGGCGTCCTGACTGAAATACCATTGTTTACAACTTCCCTCATTCTTTCAGACTAGTAGAATCAGTACTTTAGATGGTTCATAGACTCTTAGAAGGCTTGCAGCGGTTCGAAACCAGTTAATCGCAAGTGGCATCCCAAGGCCTACTCCGTGGACAACACCACCTCGCTCCTTCTGAGGCAAATCAAGGTACCCGTTATGGTGGTGCTCCGAAGCGTCTTTTGAGTCGACTCAAAAGTCCCCTCCTTTTCAGGCAAATCAAGGTCCTCGTTATAGTGGTACTCCGAACTGCACATCAGTTTTTTTAGGATTCTTGGGAGGGTATTCTGTTGAGAACACCACCTCTCTCTTTTTATGACAAATTAAGATACCATGTAATGCATTTCATTGTGTCAACAACCTAAAATGAGCATTGAGTTGTCGTATCCCTCTGGCTGAGTTGTCTTATCCCGCTGCCTGATCCACCCATGCAGTGCGAGGATCGGTACATTGCATGGCGTCCCTACTGGCATCGCATTCGCCAGTCGTACAAGAGTCATCTGGTGAGAGGGTTGCCCAGGTTTGATGGGTGTTGTGGTGCAGTGCGCTGCTGAGAGCTGGGGCTGAGACTGCCATGACTGTTGGGTGTCATAGGCCGCTCCTCTTCGATGCTGCCCCTACTTGCATCGCTTCCGCAAGTCTTGCAAAAGCCACCTGGTGAGTGCTGCTTGTTGATTGGTATGGTGCGGTATGGTGCGGTGCTGAGAGCTGGGGCATAGACTGCTCCTGTCCTGTGTTGGTCCTACTGGCATCGGATGCACAAGGTGTACACGAGTCACCTGGTGATGGCTGCTTGGGATATATGCTTTCTTGGGTGCCCCTTCTTGTTGAATGGTGTGGTGCGGTGTGGTGCTGAGAGCTGGGCGCGGAATGCACCTGTCCTGAGTTTTTGCCTTACTAGCATCACATTCGCAACCTGTACAAGAGCCATCTGGCGAGGGCAATTTCGGGTTTGAGTGATGTTGACTGTCCATACCTGTTGAGTGTCGTACGTAACCTGGAAACATTTCGTAACAGGGGTACCATCACCAAATGTCATATGCTTCCCTTCCCAGTGGTGTACCAGGCACTTCTGACTTTGAACGCCAACCATATACTTATTTGTTAAGGTTTTTGTTTTGTTTTTTGTTTTTTTTTTTTTTCCCCGTTGGTGGCTGACGGCACTCTGCTCTATTGGTCTTGTGCAGGTGCTGGACCCAAGCACAGGAAAACCGGTCAAGGTAAGTTGTCTGTTACATACGCTACGCTGAACTTTTTTTAACATTTTTTTTCTAGTACTTGTTGCGCATCATGTTCCTGACCTGATGGCATTTTGTATTGTATTCTGCTGCGCAGGATTATGACAACGGGTATTGTGCACTTGGCTCGGAGCATAGACATTGCTTCCTTTTTGCACGAAAATTCATGCCATCGGCGTTGCCGGCTCTACTGAATATGTCACAAGCAGAGTTAGGCTTCTGACTTGGTGTATTGTATTGGACAGTATGGCAAGACTCCGTATGTTTAAAGGCCTAAAAATTGCTCCCTATCAATATGTGTGTTACCGTATTTTCCCATATATAGGACCATCCGGTAAGAGTCCCGCAGATCTTCTATGCAGGGAGTGGATGGAACGCTGTCAAAGCGCGAGTTACCGTATCACCCTGGATAGAAGCGCAGGCCTATGATAAGCGCGTGCGCTTCTATCTGGAGCAATGCGCTTATGGCCGATCCTCAATTATAAGTGCACCCCCTGTGAAAACATTACTTTTTATAAGCGCATGTACAATTTTAAATCAAAATTTCTGTTTAAAACTTTAGCGAGTTTCAATTTCGAAGCGAGTACAATCTCATTTTCGCCTAGCTTGACTCTCGAAGACCTGACTGGCTGCACGTCCAGTCAGGATGTGCTGGCATGACTGCAAAGTGTCGCATCTTGGCCCCTCTGTGCTGGAAGAGAATCGCTTGCACGCGATTCTGCTTTGTGACGGGAAAAAAGAGCGACTCGGTTGAAATGGCAAGAGTGAAATATACAATTTGGTGTCTTCAAATTACAATTCAATGTCATAATATAAGCGCATGCGCTTATACAAATGACTCAATTACAAGCGCACCCCCCAAAAAACACTGTTTTATTATAAGCGCACCTGCGCTTTTATCCGAGGTGATACGGTACTCCCCTACCCCTACGATACTACGTTAGCAATTTTAAGGCACCATCTTGCACAACTTCACATTTGCACACCGGATTATGGATGTGGAGTTATGATGTGGTCAATGCATCAATGTATGGGGGTCTTACCTTATTTCCATTCTCCATAATGTTCACCACCACCCTAGCCATTTTCATTGAATTATTAGAAAGACTCCCGGGTCCTATACACGCGAAAATACAGTGGTAGTAAGCATTTTTTTACACAGATAGGGCCAGGGAAGGTTCAGTTAGTGTTAGGCTAAATGGTAGTCTCCTACTTGTACACTCAGAATAACAGGGCAGGCAAATAACTTGAAAACGAGGAGTTGAAGGTGAAGTATCGGCATGAAGGTCAAACTGGGTGCGTCATGTCAGCTTAGCCCTGCGCAAACCAGGGAATTGGGACTTGCGAGACATGTTTCAAGGGTGAGTTTGTGAGGAGGGGAAAAACTGGTTGAGATGAGGCTGAAGTGGGTGGGGAACATGCAGGGAAAGGGAAAGAGCGGCAGGGAGAGGAGGGAATAAACAAATCCCATGGACCTGTGTACGAAACAACATGAGCCATAATAGCATATAGCAACTCCAGCACTTGCTACACAAGTCAAACGAGAAATAGGACACAAAAACGAAGATTCATACAGCCATACCTCCCACAAAAAGGATGTTTCAGAACCCAACTGTACCCCTGTGCAACTTGCAGTACATGCTCCTTCCTACACCCTTACACTTCCAAGAAGATTGGCAAGGTTCATCACCTTACCACTCACCTTACCACTCGCCTTACCACTCGCCTTACCACTCGCCTTACCACTCGCCTTACCACTCGCCTTACCACTCACCTTACTACTCACCTTACCACTCACCTTACCACTCACCTTACCACTCACCTTACCACTCACCCTACCACTCACCCTACACCCACCTTACCACTCACCTTACCACTCACCTTACCACTCACCCTACCACTCACCCTACACCCACCTTACCACTCACCTTACCACTCACCTTACCACTCACCTTACCACTCACCTTACCACTCACCTTACCACTCACCTTACCACTCACCTTACCACTCACCTTACCACTCACCTTACCACTCACCTTACACCCACCTTACACCCACCTTGCCACTCACCTTACCATTGTTGCTGCCACCATCGCTGCTACTGTTCCTGCCACCATCCCTCCTCCCATCTTCTCTTCTCTTCTTGCCACTGGTCCTGCCGGGGCATGAGAGCTTGTGAGAGGGCCAGTGCGCCTTTTGGCACTCTCTGCTGCAATACGCCACCTTGCCACACCCACCGCAGCTCCTCAGCTTCACACCGCCACCCTCCTCCCTCCCACACCCCGCAGCACCGCACCTACTCTCCCTGCAAACACCAGGACCACAGGCCTCTGCATCTGCAACGGGTGCACCTGCAGCTGCAGGGCCTAGCGCAGCACTAGTAGTTGGGGTGACATGGGTGGACGAGGCATCACAGATTGGCATGGTAGCAAGAGTGTGCACAGGTGGGTGGGTAGACGAGGCAGCAGTGTTTGGAGAAACAACATTTGTTGGAGCAGCAGCAGCAGCAGCAGCTGCAGCAGGAGTGGTAGAGGCGGAAGCAGCTGTGCTTGGCGCTGCAGCAGCAGCAGGAGGGAGGAAAGGGGCAGCAGGGGAGAGAGGGCGGTAGCAGGGCTCCCCCAGCAGCATCTCTCGCAGGCATGCCACCAGATTGACTCCCCCCGGCCATGCCTTCAAATAGCCCGGCATCTCCACCCTCTTGCCCTTTCCCCCAACGCACTTGCCAGCACCGGCACCAGCACCGGCACTAGCACCAGCACCAATACCACCAGTACCATCACCATCACAACCAGTATCAGCACCACCAGCACCATCACCAGCACCATCACCAGCACCAGCACCAGCACCAGCACCAGCACCAGCACCAGCGCCATCACCAGCAATAGCAACATCACTGCTAGTGCCACCACCATCACACACTCCTCTGCCACTGCTACCGCCGCTAACGCTGCCAGCACCAGCAGTGCCGCCCCCCGTTACCACGTCACTGCCACTGCTGCTACTGCTGCTTCTCTCTGCAGCACCACTCTGGCCTTGCACTTGCACCCTTTCTCTAATCCTCTTCACCGCACCAGTCTCGAACATCTTAGCAACCCTTGTCTTCACGTCTGCCTTCTTCTGCCGCCCCTCGCTGGCCGTACACACATCACTCAGACCTGTACTTGCCGATTCGATTCCGGGATCGCTCAATGTGACACGCATGCTGGACGGCCAAGCAACCATCGCCGCGAAGCACCACGACTGCAACTCCTCCCACACCTCTCCATCATCCTCCTCCTCCTCCTCCTCCGCCTCTTCCACCTACCATCCTTTTCCCACCCCTCCCCTCGCTTTCCCTTTCTTCCTCCCCCTCTTCATCCCCTTCTGCACTCGAATCCCGTCCCCTTCCAGCAGCCGTACTCCCTCAAACTGCTCCACATCCAGAAGGGAAGCCGGCCACATGAGGGCCACGAGCAGCAGGAACGCAACCCCCTGCCCCTCTATCTCACCACGCATCCTCGCCAGACCGACAGACCCAGGCGCGCAGGATGGAAGCGGCGCCGGCCACAACCCCATGACCTCCACAAGAGTGTCAAACCCAGCGGAGTGCGGCGGGAAGACGGATAGAAAGCGGTTGAAGAGGACGTGCAGAGGGCGGTAGGCGAACTTGGCAATGAGGGCGATGGATGGGATGGTGCACGTGTAGCCGCGGTAGCAGTGGATGCAGTAGGCGCATGCCGGTGGACTCACCACCAGGTGACTTTTGAGTCGACTCAAAAGTCACCTCCTTGGCAATGAGGGCGATGGATGGGATGGTGCACGTGTAGCCGCGGTAGCAGTGGATGCAGTAGGCGCATGCCGGTGGACTCACCACCAGGTGACTTTTGAGTCGACTCAAAAGTCACCTCCTTGGCAATGAGGGCGATGGATGGGATGGTGCACGTGTAGCCGCGGTAGCAGTGGATGCAGTAGGCGCATGCCGGTGGACTCACCACCAGGTGACTTTTGAGTCGACTCAAAAGTCACCTCCTTGGCAATGAGGGCGATGGATGGGATGGTGCACGTGTAGCCGCGGTAGCAGTGGATGCAGTAGGCGCATGCCGGTGGACTCACCACCAGGCTCACGGCTTCCACTAGAAACTCTGCATCCGCCACGCAGCGGACGATGGGAAGCTGTCATCCCCGAGGCAACTGCGCGACAGCAGCCATGCCGGATGGGTTTAAGATTCCCCCCCTTTGGTGTTCGCCAAACCCTCTGTTTGTGTCACCACCTCTCAAATCACTTCCTTGGCCAGATGCCTTGCCTCTTCGCCCCTTCTTCCCACTCATGTGCTTCCTCCCGGACTTTGATGTTTGTTCTGTTACCCTGTCGCTGTCGCACCCCTGCTTACTCCCCACCCCCGTCGCACTCTCCTCCACAATACCCAGCTGAAAGAATCTCGCTTCACGATCATCAGGAAGCTTCCCAGCAGCTTCATCGCCCTGTGGCCATTCCTTCCACTCCATAGGGAAATTAGCGTCATCCAGAGGCTTGGGGATGGCGCCGAGCCTGAGCAGCAGGCTCGGGAGGCCTCGAAACGGATGGGGCATTTGCAGGACCCTGTTCTGTGGCTTACACCTGAAGCATCTTCTCACAAAGACAACATCTGAGCCGTAGAATCGGACCCACTGTAAGATGCGGGCAACTCGGTATGTGAAGGCTGCGAGGACAGAACTTGCGTTTACAAGCACGAGGCCAGCAGTGTAGCTGGCGCAAGTGCCATATTGTCTTGTAGCAGAAGGCCAGGTTTCAGCTGAAGCAGAAGCACGGGCAGCAGATGCATCCCCCACTGCCGATGCTTCTGCTGTCCTGCTCGTGTCTGCTGCTCCCCCACTGGTGTTAGCTGTCGCCCCACTGCCATTGGAGTTAGCTGATGCCCCACTGCCACTGGTCTTAGCTGCTGCCCCACTTGAGCTTGCTGCTGCCCCACTCGTGTCTGCTGCTGTCCCCTCTCCTCCTGTTCCCCTTAAACCCCATATTCCGCCCGTTCCACCAACCCCTCTTCTCAGCCTGCTTCTAGCTGCCTCGATTGCAGCCTCTTCCACCCGCGCCTTGTTGGCATTGTTCCCATCGAATATGTACATACACGCCTCAGCGCAGCTCTCTGATTTAGACAGCTCTGCGGCAAACGCAAGGGCGAAATCCGTGGCGCCCACCCCACTCACATACATGCCCTTGGGAATACCATTCCCCTGCACGTCACCGCCATTATTGCTGCCCCCCTCACTGCAGTGGCTGCATCGAAACTCCCTCACTTCCCCCCTTCCATGCGCCAGAATCCATGCCATGCCATCCACATACCTCTCCCACACACGCCCCTTTAGATTCTCCCTCCACTGCCCATTCTTCCCCCCTCTGCCACGCGCCCCAGCAGCCCCATTAGCCGCCTCGCTGCTGCGCCTCTCTTCCCCTCTGCTCGCCTCGCTTCTATGCTTCGGTTCCCCTCCGCCACTCCCCCCACCAGAATCACCCTGTGTAATAACCAACCTTGCCAGAGCACCCAACAGCTCCTCCTCCTTTTCCATGGCCCCACCTCTATCCATCACCTCGCCCTCCACCCGTCCCTCCTCCCCCTGCGCCTCCTCAGCAGCCTTCCCCCCGGTCCCCCTTTTCTCATCCCACTGCGCATTCTCAGGACCCTTCCCCCCGCTCCCCCCCTCCCCTTGGAATGCGCCTCCTCCAGCCCGCCTGAGAGAAGGTGCTGCACGAAGCACCCAAACCCTTCCTGCAGGTCACCACTCTCCTTCACCCCCAGCACCTGCACCAGCACGGACGCAAAGCAGTCGTTCTTAGCCTGCCTGCCCGCCCCCATCTCCGCCACGATTTCCGAATAAGCTGACGTTTCTCGGGACATAGACGCCTTCTTCAGGTTCACAACGCGCGGGAACCTCGCTACAAGCACAAGGAAGGCAGCGAAGCTGACCGCACGCCGGTAGGCAACCCACCGACTCGCCCACGTTCCACTCGCAACAGCAGAGGCAGCAGCAGCTGCTGCAGGAGCAGGAGCAGGAGCAGGTGCAGGTGCAGGTGCGGCTGTAGCAGCATCTGCACCGGTCAGTATGGCAGGCAGGCGGGATCTGATCCTCCCCAGGTCCACGAGCACGCCCACACGAGGCTCCGCCATCCACTCGAGAATCATCGCCTCGGCACAGCGAATCGGCGCCACAGCACACTTAAAGCCGAACAGCCGCTGGGGCGGCCAACTCTCGAGAGGCTCCAAAGCCTTCATGGGTGCTCGTGCTGAGTACTCAACGATGGCGCTGGATGGTTGGTCCTGGGGCGCAAGGGGGATGGAGCTGGGAAGCTGGTCGCGAAGGTCGGAACGGAATTCTGCCAGGCGGACTATGCCCAGCGCGCGCTCTGCTCGGTAGCTCACTGCGCGGTCGAAGCAGCACTCGCACTCCTGCCAATCCCACGCGCCCCTCACGTCCATGTAATGTACCATGTCTGCCCGCGACAGCAGCTGATGCCGCTGCTCTGATGCTGCGTGAGTCGCTGCTCTCCTGCCGCCGCTTTGTCGTCGCGCTGCTGCCCCTCGTTCGCCCTCGCTCCCGTGGCGAAGCCACTGCTCAGTCATCTTGAATAGGTGTATCCAATCCCACTCCGCCTCCTCGTGGCTTAGCGTGCTTTCCTCCGCAACCAGGGTCGCGGACGGAGGCACACTCTCAGCGGCAAACCCGGACGGAGGCACACTCGCAGAGGCAGATGCGGCAGGAGGCACACTCGCAGAGGCAGATGCGGCAGGAGGCACACCCGCTTCGTCGCCACTCGATGCTCCCCCCTGCACACTCCTCACAGAAGGCATTTCGACGGTTGTACCCGGTGTTGAAAGCTTCGCTTGCTACACTTGATTCACGGGATAGGTACACCACCTAAGAACCCAAAAGTGGAGCGGATGCGTCTCATTTGTAAAGACAGACATGCCTCCCTTTCCTCGAACCGTTTTCCGCCAGCTGACGCCGCGCCTCGTATGTGAAGCAGGAGTTTGACGGATCAGACTGAGCGACACTATCGATGACTGTGCGACACGCTTGGAACGTCAGGATCAAGAACATCTGAAACAGACGAACAATCCGATACCGGGTTTCACTGTTCCACTAGTCAGACATACTGAACTTGATCCGATCGTCGGATTCGCGTTGCACCACTTCAGCTGGTGCTGTAACTCGAACCTTGTAAACCATGCGCGAGCTGTTGACGCGACACGAACTGTTCATCGTGCGTTGTTCGCCACCGCTCAGCATCGTTCTAATTTTATACTTGCACTGCCGACGACAACATTCATGACTGTTACGAGACTTTGTAGTGTGGTCTTTCTCTACTCGGTCCCACCCAACCAAGAGGAGGAAGGTTGAGGCAGTTTTGCGGTACTTGAGACTTCCGGTCCCACCCAACCAAGAGGAGGAAGGTGGTATGTTGTAATTTTGCAGCCTAGAAATCAGCACATCAAAGAGATGTCAGCGCATCACTGTGAGCAGAAGTGGAGCACTGGGGAATGTTGAGATCTGAAAGCTCCAATACATCGTCAGAGTTCAGCTCTCGACATTTTCAAAGTTTGTCAATGTTCCCACCCCGCACACCCACGCACTGGTTACAACCATAGTGAGGTCGTGTCCGTAGGGATGACATGTCAAAGTGGGCAGTGTCAACTTGGCATTTTGACACTCTGCCAACATGCTGGCAGATTGTCAAGAAATTGCAGGTTGCCAGCCAATACAAATCGTCGAACACTTTTGAAATTGGCACAGACAAACCTACAAACGAGAGAAGATATTCGCAGGTACCTATCTCACGACCAGATGCTGCCCAATCAGCACACAATATGTCTTTTGACTTGTTCGTTGCCTAGCAGATCTAGCCATGACAAATTTTCAAACCAATGAAATTGCGTCGCTGATGTTCGTACATGCGCTTTGACTTGACACTGCCACACTCTAATTTGAATGTGCTTTGGGTTGACACGCCTTCACTTGTAATGTCAACCCTACGGACACGAACTGATTGGCTCTCGAGCGACGAGATGTTATGTTGCGAAACCAAACAAGATTCAACTAGGGCTGTGTGAGAATACAAAGCCGTGTTCAGTACAAAGTTCTTCCCATGCTACATTAGATTTGAACTTGTAAAGGCACGCGCTGGACCCGCCCTCAGATTCGCTTCAAGCACATTCGGTGTTTGTGCATTGCTTCACCTCCACACCTGTTTTATTTTCCCCTTACCACGCTTTGAAATCGTAAGATTAATTCAGGCGGAACTGGCGGCGGCACTGCTAGTACTCTGCCGGCTCTTGCGGCATAGTCTTTTGCACCTACCTTTTTTGGAACCCGTCTCATTGGTTCTCTACGCCAATTTCATTTCGCCACGTCCCCGTAGGTCAGCAGCAGCAACCGCTTAAAGCCACGTGCTGTAGGCCAGCACTAGCAGCCGCCTAAAGCCATCATGGCGGAGCGGCGCGACGACGTGATGGAGTCGCTCTTCGGGGCCGACTCGGACGGCTCGGGCGACGAAAAGGGCAGCCCTGCGCGCTCTGGCGACGATCGCCCACGTCGCAGCTTGAGTCGCTCGGGCAGCGACGCGAGTGCGAAGGATGAGGTGGGCGATGAACTGGTGCACGCCACGTGATCATTCTCCCACGGCCGCCGCCCGGCGGCAGCTTTTCAGTTTTCGTTAGCATCCTTTGACACTGCCGTCCTCCACGCTCAAGTTTATTGAACGTGGTGGATGGTTGGTTGGTACCATCATCCACCAAGTTCAATAGCGTGATGGATGCTAAGAAAACTGGCATCCTTTCAATCTGGGAACCTAATGCTCATGCCTTCCGTTGTAGCGTCGCGTTGACTTCTTTCTCTGTTCACAGTCTTAGTTTCCTTTTCTTCCCGCCAAAAATTCGCAGCCACGTGGCAGGCGAGGAAGCGGCTCGGGTGACGACTGGGACGACCGCCGAGAGGGTGGGGAGAGGGGGGACAGGGGGGAGGGGAGGGCGGAGGGGCGGAGAGAAGAGATGAACGGGGGAAGCGGGCGGGAAGGCATTGGGGGAAATAGGAAGGGGAGCGACGAGGAGGAGGGGGAGCGGGACGGGGAGCGGGTGCGAGGCCAGGCGGCGCAGAGGCGACGAGGGGGGCGACAGGTGATAGATGATGACGATGAGGAGGAGGATGGTGAGGGGGATGGGGGGGAAGGGGGGCGGAGGAGAGGCGGGTTTGTGGGGAGGCAAGGGGGGATGGAGGAGGAGGAGGAGGAGGAGTTTGAGGAGAGGCAGGAGGAGAGGGACAGAAGTCCGCGGTCTCCCAAGCATCATCGCCACTCCCCTCGCTCTCCCAGGTAAAGGCTCTCTCTTCCTTTCCTCACAACCGATCTCTCCTCCCTTCTCCCTCCTTCCTGAATCCCCCACTTCTCTTCCTGATTTTTCCCTCCCTTCGTTCCTCTCATCTTCCCACCCTGCTTTCCTCCTTTCTTGCCTCCCTGCGTCCCACCTTCCGTCCTATCGTTCGTCCCATCCTTCCCTTCCTTTTCCCCTCCGCTCCCCTCTCCCGCCCTCCCGTCCCTGCCTCGGCCCCCTCTACCATTCTTCTTCCCGCCCTCTTCCCCCTTCTAATCCCCCCCACTCCCCGCCCTCCCTCATCCCATCCGCGTTTCCCCTCCTCATTTCTCCACCCTTCGCCCTCCTCCGCGCCTCTCACTCTCTCCCTCCCATGCGCGGCTCGCGCGCTCAACCCCTCCCATGCGTGATGCTCGCACCATCACCTTACACGGCCTGCTGAGCCTGCTGCATGCAGGGCTGTGCTGATGCGCTTCAGGGCTAAAGCCTTGACTTTCAAGAACCTCAAGGACCTTTCTACCAGGCGGTCTTCGGTTATGTGCTTCTATAAATGCCTCTCAATCATGCTCAATCCTGCCGCCCCTCTCAACCCCTCACAAATTCTCTCAACCCCTCGAGTTGATTGGTCTTTCCCATCCCATGGCACGCACGCCTTGCCTGGCCCAACCCTCTCTCCCACCTGCCGTCGCCTCCCATTCTTGCGTGCTGCTGGTTTGCTGTTGTGCTGTGAACTACGCATGTATAAGGCAGGCAGGCATATGCTAATGAGCTTCAGGGCTAGTGCCTTGGGAACCACGGGCCTCTCTGTACCAGGCGTTACTAGGTCGTGTGCTTGCTCAACCCTTCCAATCCCTCTCAATCCCTCTCAATCTCTCTCAATCAATCACTCGCAGTCCCTCTCAATCCCTCTCAATCCCTCTCCAATCCCTCTCGAATTGAGTGGTCCATGCCTTTCCCTGGCACAGCACCGCTCCCCACTCATCACGCTGATGAACTATGGTTCGTTTGCCCCCCTCCCTCCCGCTCTCCCTGCCCCCACCTCCCATGCTCGCGTGCTTGTGCTGCTGTGCCGCAGAGGGGTAGTCACAGGGCGGCACAGAGACAGCGAGGGGAGTGGGGGGGAGGGCGATGAGGCAGGTGGGGGTGGGCGCAAGGTGCGGCAGCAGGTGACAGAGAGAGACCTGTTTGGAGAGTCCAGCGAGGAGGAGGAGGACGAGGAGGGGAGGGATGCGGGCAGGAAGCAGAGGAAGGCCAGCCGCTCGCCCCAAGGCACTCCCCTGGCGTCCCCTGTAAGGCACTGTCACTCCCCTGGCGTCCCCTGTAAGGCACTCCTCTTGCCTCTCTGAATGTGAATGGTTTAAAAGGCCGATGTTACAATTTCGCACCACACCATCTGCCAACGCATGCTGTTGTCGCATCGTCACTCACACATGCCTTGCCTTCTCCGCTCCTGCTAACCACCTTCCTTCCGCTTTCCTCACACAGCAGAGGCATGAGTACGAGCCGGAGGAAGCAGGGGGACGAGAGGCACTCCGAAAGTCGGTGCTGTGGCTGATGCAATTTCGCAGCACAGCACCGACAACTCCCCACGCACGTTGCCGTGGCATCTTCACATGCCTTCTCTGCCCCTGTTATCCCCCACTGTTCCCCCTCTTTTCCACTTTCCACCCCTTCCCCTCGTCTCAATCAGCAGCGGCATGGGTATGAGTCAGAGGAGGAGCAGAGGTACGCGAGGGGGGGATATGATGAGTTTTGAGACGTCTCAAAAGCCATTCCCCACTTTCCCCCTTCTCTTCCCCCTGCCCCTCCCCCCCTCGTCTCAATCAGCAGCGGCATGGGTATGAGTCGGAGGAGGGGGAGCAGAGGCACGAGAGGGGCGGCTATGACGAGGAGGGGCGGTGGGATGAGGAGGGCGGGGAGCGGCGGAGGGCGAGAGAGCGACCCAAGGGGCCTCCCTTGGACCTCGACCTCTCTCTCTTTGACCCCCCTGCTCCACCCGACAAGGTGGGTTGTGCCTTTGTGCGGCCCTTTCATGTGTGTGTGCTGTGTTCGTCCTGTACCCACACAATGGCCCCCCTTGGACCTCTCTCTCTTTGATCCCCCGGCTCCACCTCTCAAGATGGGTTGCGCATTTGTCTTGCCAGGTCATGTGTATGTGTGTTCATTCTTCTTGCCTTGCCACACAAGAGGCCTCTCTTAGAGCTCGATCTCTCTCTCTCTCGTCCACTCCCCTGCTCCACCCGACAGGGAGGGTAGCGCCTCACAGGGTGTGTGTGTGTGTGTGTGCTGGGCGTGTGTGTTCATCACTCCGCCCTCTTCAAAATCCCCTCCCTTTTTGACAAAATTTGTGAGCATGCTCTCTTCTCCTCTCACCCTCTCCGTCCCTCTCCATGCACCTCTGCCCCTCTCCACCCTGCTCGACCCTCATTGCCCCCCTCTGCCGCTCTCCGCGTCTCCTCACCCACTTTCTCCACCCCGCGCCAGATGGTGGGCAGTGGGCATCCAGGCAGCGACCTTCGACCCTCATTGCCTCTCGCTGCCCCTCATTGCCCCTCCCCTCTCCCTGCCAGATGGTGATGGTGATGGCGAGCAACATAGTGGGCATTCAAGCAGCCCCCTTCGACCCCGACACGTACGAGGAGGGCGGCCCGCAGAACCTCATTTGACCTTTCTGCCCCTTTCTAACCTCTCTCTCCACCCCTTGCCAGATGGTGATGGTGATGGCGAGCAACATAGTGGGCATTCAAGCAGCCCCATTCGACCTTGACACGTATGAGGAGGGCGGCCCACAGAACCTCATTCGCTGGCGCCACGTGCGCCGCCCCGATGGCACCATGGGGGTGAGTGCAGCATGGGGCGAGTGGGTGCAGCATGGGGTGAGTGTATGAGGAAGCAGTTGGATTCTTTATCACGTGGAGAGGCATTGGTTGCTGGTACGGCAATGTGTGGTCTAGCAATGTGTGATGATCTGGCGATGTGTGGTCTAGCAATGTGTGGTGGTGATCTAGCAATTTGTTATGGCATGGCATTGTGGTGCGCGGTTGGGTGAAACGTAGTGTTGCTGTTCTTATTCCCCCATTGTCCTGCTTGGTGGAATGGGGGAATGCGACCTAGCAGGTACCATCGTTCATCTCCATTTCCATCTTCCCTCCACCGCCTGTCCCCGGTTGGATAGCAATGTGCGGCGGCGGTTTGTGCCGCCTTCTATCTCCCACCTGTCATCCCACGTGTCATCCCACGTGTCATCCCACGTGTCATCCCATGTGTCATCCCATTGCACCAGGTGGAGAGCAACGCGCGCATGGTGAGGTGGTCAGACGGCTCGTTGCATCTGCTGCTGGGCGCTGAGGTGCTGGCCACAGACATCAAGAGCATGCAGCATGATAAGGCGCACCTCTTTGTTCGCCACCCCAAGGTACGTTTGACAAGGTCCTGCTACATGCATACTGATCCTAGCATTAACTCAGTTCCGAGGTGCTGGCCACAGACATCAAGAGCATGCAGCACGACAAGGCTCACCTCTTCGTGCGCAACCCTAAGGTAATGCTGGTACCCGGAGGACCAAGGTACTGTTCCCCCAAATCACTGGACTGGTAGTACCCAATTGCTGGCCTGGCCACTGATGTGAAGAGCTTGCAGCACGATAAGGCCCACCTATTCGTGCGCCACCCTAAGGTGCTGCTGTTTCCCCAAGGTGCTGTTAGTACCCCAAGGCTCTGTTTCCCAAGGTCCTGGTAAACGTATAATTAGCATCCAAGGTGCACCTCTTCGTGCGCCACCCCACGTTAGCTGGTATTACTTTTAAGGTTCTGTTTCTCAAGGTGTTATACTTCTCATCCTACGGAGCTTCAAGGTGCTAGCGACTGACGTGAAGAGCATACAGCACCACAAGACGCACCTATTCGTGCGCCACCCCAGGGTCACTCTCTCAATCTCTCACTCTCTCTCTACCTCCCTCTCTCCTCTCTCAAACGGTCCGTTGTATTGATTCAGGCAGGGTACAAACATGCAGAATGATCCGGTGAAACCCTTTCAATCCCCTTTCTCCCTTCCTCTCACTCTGTCTCTACCTCCCGCTCTCCTCCCTCCCTCTCTCCCTTCCCTCCCCTCTCCCTCTCTCCGTCATCTCCCCGTTCCCTCTCCGCCTTCTTCCCACTGCCAGCAAGGGGTGGTACAGGGGCAGGGGCAGCTGGTGGAGAAGATGTGATTCCGCCCGTTCAACACACACAGCCTGATTCAACACACACAGCCTGATTCAACACACACAGCCTGATTCAACACACAGCCTGATTCAACACACACAGCCTGATTCAACACACACAGCCTGATTCAACACACACAGCCTGATTCAACACACACAGCCTGATTCACAAGAAGCTGACCCTTTCTCCCTCTCCCTCCTCCACTTGCCCTCCCTCTGTTGCTCTCTCCCTCCCTCACCTCTCCCCGCCCCCTTCACTCACTCTCTCCCTCTCCTCCCCGTCCCCGTTCCTCCCGCCCACCCACTGCCAGCAAGGGGTGGTGCAGGGGCAGGGACAGCTGTTAGAGAAGATGCGGTTCCGCCCATTCGACACGCACAGCCTGATTCACAAGAAGCTAACGCTGGGGCTGGACTCAAAGTACCGCAAGGGCAAGGAGCTCAAGAGCATCGTCACCACTGGCGACCCCGAGAAGGAGAAGGAGGAGCGCGAGCGGGTGAGTGGCGTGTGGTGTGGTGGCTTGTCAGTGAGTGAGTGAGTGTGTGATCGAGTGAGTGAGTGAGTGGGTGAGTGAGTGAGTGAGGAGTGACCGAGTGAGATAGTGAGTCAGTGAGTCAATCAGTCAGTGGCAGTGCACATGCTGGTGTGGGAAAGAGAGTGTAGTGTGTGCGTGGGCATGTGCGGGTGTGAGTGAGTTTGATTCACAAGAAGCTGGCGCTGGGGCTGGACTCAAAGTACCGCAAGGGCAAGGAGCTCAAGAGCATCGTCACCACTGGCGACCCCGAGAAGGAGAAGGAGGAGCGCGAGCGGGTGAGGGCCGTGGCCTGTCAGGCAGTCAGTCGGTCGGTCAGTCAGTCGGTCGGTCGGTCGGTCGGTCAGTCAGTCCGTCGGTCGGCCGGTCGGTCAGTCGGTCGGTCGGTCAGTCAGTCAGTCGGTCGGTCGGTCGGTCAGTCAGTCGGCCGGTCAGTCAGTCAGTCAGTCAGTCGGTCGGTCGGTCAGTCAGTCAGTCAGTCGGTCGGTCGGTCGGTCAGTCAGTCAGTCGGTCGGTCGGTCGGTCAGTCAGTCAGTCAGTCGGTCGGTCAGTCAGTCAGTGGCAATGCACATGCTCGTGTGAAAACGAGAGTTCATATTCCAAGGCGGAAACTGGAGCAACAAACTCTTCTTTCACCCCCCCTCCTTCCCGCCGACTTTCCCAACCTTACAGAGCATTCAGCAGCAGATTCGCACCAAGGAGACTCTAAGGCAGGAGCAGGAGAAGCGAGCGCGGAAATACTCCAACCAGCCGCAGCAGCGTGCCGCACGCGACCGCGAGCAGCAGCGATACGGCGGGGGGTACCGGCAACAGGTGTGTGGAGTGCCGACAGGTGCAGGTGGGTGGGGGTACTGACAGGGTCCGGAGGGGTACTGACAGGTGCAGAGGGGTACCGACAGGTGCGGAGGGAGAAGGGGGTGGCATTAAGTGCCATGGCGATCGTGTGAGGCATACTACCTAGTTTTCTCGGCAGCCGCGAGAAGGTGGTGACCCCAAGCGGTGTGGCATGAGAAGGTGGTGACCACAAGCGGTGTGGCATGAGAAGGTGGTGACCCCAAGCGGTGTGGCATGAGAAGGTGGTGACCCCAAGCGGTGTGGCATGAGAAGGTGGTGACCACAAGCGGTGTGGCATGAGCACACACACACTCTCACCCTCCTCTGCTGTGTGTGTGTGCTACGATGATCCGTCCCCTTGTAGCAGCAGCACCAGCTCTTGCATTCTTCTCACATGCATTTATTTCTCGTGTTTGGCCTGTGCTGCATGCATGGTGATTGTGTGCTGCATGCTGTGTGTTGCATGGTGCTGTGGTGACATGGCTTGGTGTGTGGTGTGAACTGGACATGAGATGATATGGTATCATGGTGTGCCAATGGTGTTGCAATATGACACGTCATGCCTTTACCTGGTACCATGCCACACCTTACGCTGCATGGCATGGCATGTGCTGCAACAGAGGGAGGAGGAGGGCTATGGGTATGGACGGGATCGAGGGAGGGGAGGGGGCGGGCGGCGGAACGAATACGAAATCGAGGAGGAAGAGGAGGAAGAGGACGAATATGAGGAGGAAGAGGAGGAAGAGGAGGATAGATACGATCGGCGGCAAGGGAAGAGGGTGAGTGCTTGGATTAACCTTTCTTCTTTCTTCTCACCTCATTGTCCCCTCATCACATTGTCTCAGTCTCATTCTTGCACCTCTCTCTCTCCCTCGCCCTGCTGCCCGACCCCTCTACTCCTCCCTGCTGCCCAACCCCTTCATTCCTCCCTGCTGCCCAACCCCTTCATTCCTCCCTGCTGCCCAACCCCTTCATTCCTCCCTGCTGCCCAACGCCTTCACTTCTCTCTGCAATTTGTACCTTATACGGCCACTGGAGTGCATGTTCCTTCCATGCAACACTTTTGAGCCCACCCCCTCTTAAATCCTGCCTCCCCCACCAGCCCTCTCCCTCTCACGGCCATCGCCCCGCCAAGGCTGCCAGTCCTCAGGCAGAGGAGGCTGCCAGTCCTCAGCCTTTCTGGTGTGCCATCAGTACCCTCCAAGTCCTCATCGTCCCTCCTTTCCCCACTCCCTACCCCCTCTTTCATCCCAGCTCCCACACCAGCCCTCTCCCTCCTATGACCATCGCCCCTCCTATAGACCCTCTCCCCCTTGCCTCTTTCATCCTGCCTGCGCCCTCCCCTCCCCCCACCAGCGTTCGCCCTCCTACGACCATCGGCCCGCCAAGGCTGCAAAGGCTTCAGGCAGAGGAGGCCGGTATAGTGATGAGGAGGAGTCTGAAGGGGACAGGGGGCGAGGGGGGTATGATGAGGGCCGGGGGGGCAGGGGCAGGAGATTGGAGGAGTCTGATGATGAGGGGTATGGGCGGAGAGGTGGGGAGAGGGGGCGGGGAGGGGGGGAGGAACAGGGGGGGGATGAGGAGGATTGGATGGAGGAGCGGGAGGAGAGCAGGAAGGCGGCAGCGTGGCGGCGGAAGAGAGTGGTGGAGAGCGATGAGGATGAGTAGGTGGTATGGGGTGGGGGATGCCGTGCCAGGTGCCATGGCAGGTGGCATGGCAGGTGCCATGGCAGGTGCCATGGCAGGTGGCGTGCGAGGTGGGGCAGTTGAGGAAGAGAGTAGTGGAGAGCGATGAGGATGAGTAGGTGGAACGTTTTGAGTCGACTCAAAACATATGAACGGGGGAGGAGGAGCAGGGGGGGGATGAGGAGGACTGGAGGGGATGGCTGGGGGATGCTGTGCCGGGTGGTATCTTTGTTTTTATGCAGGGTTGTTTTAGGCACCTTGGATGGAGGAGAGGGAGGAGAGCAAGAACGCGGCTGCGTGGCGGAGGAAGAGAGTGGTGGAGAGCGATGAGGATGACTAGGAGGGCTGGGTGGGGGATGTCGTGCCGCAGGTGCCATGCCAGGTGCCATGCCAGGTGCCGCAGATGAGGATGACTAGGTGAGATGGGCGATGTCATGCCTGATGCGATGCAAGGTGCCGTACCACATGGCATGATGGCATGCGTGGTGGAAAGTGGAATGGGTCGTGTTTGAGGAGAAGCGGTTTCTGCTGCTCTTCTTGAGGTGCCATAAACCAAGGGTTCCGCTGGATGGAATGGAGTGGTGGAGAGTGGTTTAGAGGATTGGGGCAGGATGGCTGATTTGTTAGAGTTCTTGAAGAGAGGATGCTGCAGTGCAATGCAGATCTTCTTGAGGTGCCGAGAACCACGGGTTTGGCTGGTCGATGGAATAGAGCGGTGGTGGAGGAGGCCAGTCGTTAGGATTGGTCAATGGGCAGTATGGGTGACGTACCGTAATGGGTTTTTGGATGAAGTTGGGAGGTACGGTGGAAGGAGGGGGGGGATGGTGTCCCGCGGCCATACCTCTCAGCATGAGGAGGTTGCCCAAGGAAGCAGAGCAGTTGGGACGAATGTACCTAGTACTGGGAAAAGTAATCCAAGGGTACCGTATATTCGGGCGAAGAAACCTTATAGGTAGCTAGCATCTGGCATTCAATGCTGTGTTCCTCCTAAGGTGAAATATTGGCTCTGATTTGAAACCACTTGCATTCATGGATAGGGCGGGGCCATGCAGAAGCTGGCATGCATGGATGCATGCAGTGCAAGAGCACACTGAGATAACCATTTCTGATTCACAAGCAGCTGCACTCTCCATGCACCCCCATACAACAGCACCACAGTAGAAGCCCTTCACTTGCCTAAAAGGGCTCAGCCAGTCACTGTTACCGTAGCGTGTCAGCAACACCCACTCAACCAGGCCAGGATGCAGTCACATGGCAATGCAATGCCCAGTAATATAAATTCTCTCCAGTAAGGACAAAAACAATTATGTCCGTCTATTACACTTCATCCAGTTGTAACAAATCGCTCCAGCTTATAATGGTGTAGTTCGTGCGAAGTTCCCGCAATCTCCGCCTGCACTGCGACTGTGCTGCCAGGGCCGCGCAGCAGTCTCCTCAACACGCCCTACTCCTCGCCGGCAGTGAAGGCCACGCGGATGACGGCTCTCCGCCCCACGTCAGCGGGCACAAATACCTCCGCAGACTCGACTTCCGCGAGCGACAGGGCAGATTTCTGCAGAGAACAAGGGGAGAGCAGGGCAGGAGGGGAGGGAGGGTTTGGTGGATGGATGGGTGTTTGGCTGCGAAGGAGCTTTCGCAGTGCGCCCTTGTGTTCCCTCAACAGCCTCCGTGTTGTGCTCTCCTGCTCGCGGGCAGTGAAGGTAACGCGGATGACGGCTCTCATCTCAGCCCGACATCGGCGGGCACAAGGACCTCCGCGGACTGAATCACCACCAAGGAGCGGGCGGATTTCTGCAGAGAACGAGGAGAAAGGGAGGGGAAGGAGAGGGGGAAAGAGAGAGGGAGAGGAAGGGAGAGGGAGAGGGGGAATGGGAGGGGGGATGAGAGGGGGAGAGGGAGGGGGAGGAGAGGAGCAGGGGACATGGAGAGAAAGGAGGAGGCGGGATCAGGGCTTGGGCATCGGTTCTGCCACTGCCACCACTGCTGCTGCGGCTGCTGGAATGCAGGACAAGGCTGAATGATAGGTACATGGATTCAAGATCAGTGGGTGGTTCTGTCAACTCAACGCCGCTGGTGGGAATTGGGGTGGTGGAGGACTTGGTGGGGTGCGCACGGGCCAGAATGACTCTATAGCGGGGATGAGCCTGCACGCGGCAGGGATGGCCGTCTCTATCTCCCGCGGTGGAAACAACCTACTGATTGACATCCAAAAAGAAACACCGGGCACGATTGCTATCCCGCAACGGCGATTTGCAGCCAGACACAACACGCTGTACGCTTCCTGGCTATTGTGCAGCATAGGAATGCCAACGCAGCGACCTTGTCTGAGGGCCAATCGCACCAGGGTACTGCTTGGGGTTGGAGCACACGGTACCGTGGTGTCATGTCGTGTCATGTCATGTCAAGTCATGTCATAATCTACACGGGCATCATGTCATCGTGGTACAAAGACAAGAGCATCCAGTCATTGTGATTGCACATAGGCATTGTTTCAACCGATTGCTAAGAGGGGGCGTTCTGAAGGCATCACGCGCGCCAATGGCGGCGGCGAATTGTGGCCGACGCGGCGATCAAAAGGAGGGGTTACCAGAACTCGCTTCGCCTCGCGCCTTGCGGGGAAGTAGGAGAGCTATCGCAAACGGGACGCGGTCGCAACAGAGGCTCTTTGAAGGGGAAATTTTGCGTCAACTGTATGAGCCTCGCCTCTTGAAGCAACGCGAAATACTCTTCGGCAATTGCCCGAGCCGCGACCCCGGCATGATTTCGCATCCGCCCTCAATAAGCTTTGCGGGCGGGAAATCATGTAGTAATACTCGCAACTCACCGTCTGCGCGTTGTACTGCTCCACCGCGGCAAAGAACATTCGCCTGTCTGAGCCGGCACTTGTTGTTGGAAATGAGCCCGTAAACCCATGTATCTCTGCCTCGAAAGCCGCCGCGACTCCGCGGATCACTGATACGAGCGACTCACCGTCTGCGCGTTGTACTGCTCCACCGCGATTCCCGCCGCTCTCTGCGCGAGCGCCGCGTCACTGGCTGCGCCTGTCTGCGTGAGGTCCAGCTCCACCCACCCCGCCGCGCTCGCCGCCGGCACGCGCGCCGTCAAGGCGACGAGGAGAAGAGCCGCGGCGGCGATTGGTAGTAGGAGCTTCATGCCGTGCCGTCACGGTACTACCGTGAGTATGCTGCAGCGACTCGACGTGGTCGTGATATTGAGCGACGGCGAGCCCGCAAAAACGGCACCTCAGAGGCTACTACTACCACGGGCTATGGACTGAATAAATCGCCAGGGAGCGACGGTAAACGTCTGAACTATGAGGCGGAAGTCGAGGCAGACACACAAGCCCCCGCCCGCCCAGTAGTAGTACTACCATTGTACTGCTACCGGCGAACAAATAGCTGCGGGACGTACGGGTGAGAACAGCTGGGAGGCTATTGTTGATTGTACCCGTCGCGCCGCGGTCAGGTACGGGAAACGGGACAAGTTCGTTCGTGCGACGATATGGGATCGCACGCAAAACATGATTTAGCTGCGGCAGCTATCTGGTTACACCGGTTCGGGAGTCGTACGATACGAGCACTGCCGGAACGGCGATTCAACCAAACCGCCGCTGAGCGCCATACCGGCAGACCCTTGGGGGGGCGGGGACGGGGGATGCCAGGCCGAAAGTGCGCCACTGAAAGTGGTGGCAGGTTCCACACGGCTCCTGTAAATTCGCCTTGCCCCGTGCGAAAAAAAGCTCACGCCGCACTTCTCCATGACCTGCCCTGTGTCGCTGGACAAAGCGATGCGACGTTCAGTGAACGTGCGCAGTCTGATAAGGCAGAAAGGGCTTGGAAGTTGGACCTAGCTAGGAATACCGACGGTCAGCCGGCAGCTCCCGTTATTGTGTCGGATGCCTCCTCGCAACAATTTGCCAATTGATAGTTTCAAAAACGAGCTTTCGCCCAACCACTTATCCGAGCCGAAACGCTGCTTAGCAGTGTGTTACGGGTGCAATGGATCTAGGTAGCGAGGATCTCACTAAGGTGTCAAACGAGTACAAAATGTGAGCTGTTACGAGTGCAATTGAGTGAACGAACTAGAATTGCACTATCGAAGCAAGAATACAATGAGCGAAGGCATGAGCGAAGAATATATAGCGAAACTACAGTGGTAACGGTAATGGACTGTGGTTGTTGTGTGAACATATTAGGTGTGGGGCCTAGGCTTAGTAGCCTAGGCCCACACTAGGAGATAGGTGAGTTCGAGTGGGTTAGGTGAGAGTCGAGAAATTGGAAGGGAAGTGAGGTGACTAGCAAGAGTTGGGATACAAGTACATTGCCCTAAATTGGGTTGTACTCATTACAGAGTACCCCACTGCAGGCTAGACAGCAAATATATTCTGACACACCCCCATAGCCAAAGTGGGGTGAAATCAGCAGAGCAGGCAAAACAGTACAAGCTCAGGGTGGATCACAATGTCACCACACATTCTGAGCACAAGTTCAAGATGCAATAGTTAAAGTGCACAATTATCAGCAAAGCTAGTGGTGGTCACAACGGGCAAGTGAGGAGGAGGAGGGAGAGTGAGAGGAGAGGAGATAGGAGGCGACGGCTGAAGCTGCAGACACACGGGCAACAGGAGCGGCTGGCACAGTGGCTACCGGGACAGCGCCCCGGACTACTGGAGTAACTGGCTCGGCGGCTACGAAGAGCGGCAGGAGTAACGGACCCACGGGCGATAGGCGCAGCAGGCTCACTGGGCTACCAGGACAGCGCCCCGGACTACAGGTGCTGCGGACTACAAGACGGCAGCCTCCGCTCAACCTCCCACAAACAGTCCCACCCCCCTGACACACACCCGCTGCTACACCCCTAGCTCCACTCCCACGCACCCCCCTTAAACCCTAAACCCCAGTCTCCCACACAACCACCCCCCTCAGCGACAGCTGCAGCAGTGGGAGACGACGGAGGAGGAGAAGGAAGGGGCGACACAAACGGAGCACCCCCACACCCGCAAACGGGGGGGGGGGGGGGGGAACAGTGCGCACGAGGGCGCAGACAGTAGGAGAGCGCACGAGGGCGCGAGCACGAGGCACGGGCAGCAACAGGCACGGGCAGCACAGGCACGGGCAGCACAGGCACGGGCAGCACAGGCACGGGCAGCAACAGGCACGGGCAGCACAGGCACGGGCAGCACAGGCACGGGCAGCACAGGCACGGGCAGCACAGGCACGGGCAGCAACGGGCACGGGCAGCACAGGCACGGGCAGCACAGGCACGGGCAGCACAGGCACGGGCAGCACAGGCACGGGCAGCAACAGGCACGGGCAGCACAGGCACGGGCAGCACAGGCACGGGCAGCACAGGCACGGGCAGCACAGGCACGGGCAGCAACAGGCACGGGCAGCACAGGCACGGGCATCACAGGCACGGGCAGCACAGGCACGGGCAGCACAGGCACGGGCAGCACAGGCACGGGCAGCAACAGGCACGGGCAGCACAGGCACGGGCAGCACAGGCACGGGCAGCACAGGCACGGGCAGCACAGGCACGGGCAGCACAGGCACGGGCAGCACAGGCACGGGCAGCACAGGCACGGGCAGCAACAGGCACGGGCAGCACAGGCACGGGCAGCACAGGCCCGGGCAGCACAGGCACAGGCAGCAACAGGCACAGGCAGCACAGGGCAGCACAGGTACGGGCAGCACAGGCACGGGCAGCAACAGGCACAGGCAGCACAGGCACGGGCAGCACAGGCACAGGCAGCAACAGGCACGGGCAGCACAGGCACGGGCAGCACAGGCACGGGCAGCACAGGCACAGGCAGCAACAGGCACAGGCAGCACAGGGCAGCACAGGCACGGGCAGCACAGGGCGTACCGGGTCCAGGGGCGGCTGCTGCTGGGGCGGCTGCACCTGGGGCTGCTGCTGCAGGAGCGGCTGCTGCAGTGACGGCTCCAGGGGGGGCTGCTGCTGGGGCGGCGGCTCCATGGGCTGCTGCTGCAGTGGCGGCCGTTGCAGGGGCTGCTGCTGCAGAGCGGCGGCAGCTGCTGCTGCAGGCGCGGTGGCAGCAGCTGCTGCAGGCCTGGCGGCGGCTGCTGCTGCTGGGTGGTGGCGGCCGCTGCTGTAGGCTCTGGCGGCGGTTGCTGCTGGCTCTGACGGCGCCCCGCGGATCCTGCACGGACGCCGCGACGAGCAGGGGCGACGCCCCGCGGGTCCCGCACGGACGTCGCGACAAGTAGGGCGGCGCCGCGCGGGTCCCGCACGGACGTCGCGACGAGCAGGGTGACGCCGCGCGGGTCCCGCACGGGCGTCGCGACGAGCAGCGGGGAGGGCAGCGCGCAGGCCCCCCGAGGGCGCTTCGAAGGACGGGAAAACCGCCGCGCGCCCCGAGCGCACGGCGGAATGAAAAACTCCGAAATCCTAAAAAAAAATTCGCACGGCAGGAAGAAGGACTGCAGCGAAAGCATAGGGGCCCACAGGCCAAGGTAGAACGGGCTCTGATAACATGTGAAAATATTAGGTGTGGGGCCTAGGCTTAGTAGCCTAGGCCCACACTAGGAGATAGGTGAGTTCGAGTGGGTTAGGTGAGAGTCGAGAAATTGGAAGGGAAGTGAGGTGACTAGCAAGAGTTGGGATACAAGTACATTGCCCTAAATTGGGTTGTACTCATTACAGAGTACCCCACTGCAGGCTAGACAGCAAATATATTTTGACATGTTGATGGGCTGAAGAGGCCCTAAGGATCTTTACAGAGGATAACTCTGGGTAGGATACTTTGTAATAGCGGAAGCGTTTAATGAAGCTTTGTGAACCGACCTTGCACTAGTGTGTGAGAGCAAAGTAGATTAAATTATAGTGAAAGGATACAAGCTTATATAATAATACAGGGAATATGAAGAGATACGGTTATAACTACTTTTACTGTTGCTGTTGCGGTTCGATACAGTGCGACTCGGGCAACTGCTCTGTAACGAGTCAATTGTGTGTCCTTAACTGTCGCGCTGTTCTTATCAGGTCAAGGGTCAGCGACCTTTGACTTTCGCGTAACTTCCTGCAGCCGATTCAACCTCCGAGGGTTGACTCGCAGGTGCTTCGGTGTAGGTTGCCTCGCTTCTGGTGCAATGTTTTGACACTGCTGAAGCGTTTAAGTTCCATTGTTTCCAACACTCCCCTTCGCTTCTGGAGTGTCGCTACTGGTGACGTGGCTCTGTCCAGTCAGCAGCATGCAGTATTCGAACTTCTGCTTTCCGAGCTTCTTGGTCAAGTAATCGGCTGCCATCTCAGACGTGGGACAGTATGACAGTTCGAGTTTCCCCTTCTCGATCTCGTCCTTCACGAAGAAATAGCGCAGGGCAATGTGTTTCGTCCTGTTTGCGAAGCCGTTCTTGTTGGCGATGCGAATTGCTGACTGGTTGTCGCAGAACACGGTGAAGCTGGGTAACTCGGCTAACTTCGCTTCTTCCAGCAGTTCGCGAAGGTAAAGTCCCTCCTTGGTGGCTGAGCAGAGTGCGATATATTCCGCTTCAGCTGAAGACAGTGCGATTAACTCCTGCTTACTCGACTGCCAGGAGATAGGACCGATAGGCTCGAGGCGGTAGACATAGCCGGTGCGTGAGCGCCTATTGTCGGTGTCGCCGGCGTGATCGGCGTCGACGTAGCCGATTAGCTTGGTCGGTGTAGTTGCGTTTTTGTGATAAGTTAGTCCGATCGTCGCGGTGCTGACGAAGTAGTGGAGAGCGCGATCGAGTTCCGCCAGATGCTCTGCTTCAGGCTTCTTGAGATAGGTGGCGAGCTGACTCGCGTAGTAGGATAAGTCGGGACGGCATGTGACTGCTGCGAAGAGAAGACACCCGAGCTTCTTCTGATAGTCGCGTATGCCGGCAGGCTTGAGTAGAATAGATCGTTCCTTTTCGGTTCCTGACGTGTAGCGGTAAGGCGTGGAGAGGGCGCTTGGTGTGAGACCGAAGCGTTTCGCGATGGTGTCGGCGTATTTCTCGGCGCTGAGGTAGATCGCGTCCTTCCCTTCTCGGATGTTGAGTCCGAGATATTGCGTGACGGTAGATGAGACGGTGAGGGTAAGGTCCTTCTGCAGCTCCCCTTCGAACCACGTGGCGATGCCGTCGGTTGACCCAATGTAGAGGAGATCGTCCACGTAGACGATCAGG